ACGCATCGTATGAATGACTCCTCACAATTTAAACGCACCTCCCAGTGGAGAGATCTCAGTGGTGGTCGTGGAAAATGCTGATGATACAGTCTAAAAAATTAAACTATGATGATATAATATCTGTTGAGGAAGAGGTTGGTGATTGAAGTGTTAAAACAAAGTGAAGAAACTATTCGTTACCACATTATTATCTATTGGAGAGAGGTAATTTCTACCTGTATTCTGAGTATGGTATGTGCCTGCATTTTTTTTGGCTATAGGTCAACGATACAGGGTGATTAACAGCCATGGTACGTTAGCCGTTAGTTATTATGGAGCACTAGGTAGAGTACTTTTTAAAAATTTGGGTTTTTGCATAAAGAGACCTGGTCCGTTTGTCTAAATTATTTTCAGCATTACAGCGTTGCCGCTTCATACTGGCATCTTTGGTATTTTAAATGGAACATCCTGTATATTATTTCATATTATTTCGTTTTTTAAAACTACTTTCATATCTCATTAATTTTTCTATTATACTAACATACCGTGCCGGCAACTGTTACTTTTGGGTCGGTATTTACATGTGGGGAAGTAAATCGCATAGGGATCTTATTAAGTCGGAGTGAGAGAAATGCGACGGTGTGCTGTTGCGGCGTTGCCGGTATATGCCTTTCCCTATCAAGTAAAGTATAATCACGATGACAAACCGTTTCTTTTTAAAATACTTTTTTTTCGAAAAGATAACTAGATAAAATCATTAGATATGTTTCTGAGCATCTGAAGTGGAATTATAAGGATATCGTTAGGGTATTTTTTATAACGAGAAAACGTCAGTAATCGCGATAATTTAAAAACTCAACATTTTAGCACATAACATGCCATAACTTAAGAACCACTTTAGAAACTTTTTTTTTATTTTGAAGATCGGATCTATTAAAATATGTTTAAATAATAAAAACTCGACAAGGTTGCTCTTTTCCATTCAAAAATTTTAAATAACCCATTCATTTACTTTTAGTGCATGGAAATTTTCAGCAAACGTGTAATTTTTTTATTTATAAAGATTTTCACATACTGTCTGCGTAGAAAATATAGCAGAAATATTAAGAAAGTGTTTGAAAAAAACTACAATCAATTATTTCTAATAGATTTCGAGATATTGATTTTTGAATTCAGAGTTCAAATAGCGCAATCACCTTCGAACACTAACTCAATTCCACTTATTTTTACCAAAAATGCAAATGTTTCTAACTTGCACTTAAAGTTTTTTAAGCAATAGAAAAAGAGGGTTAATGGGAAAACACCAGAACACCTCATCACAGAGTGCGCCGAGACGATAAGCATCCGTGCCATAATATTTGATACAACTGATATCGGAGATAGAGAACCAACCTCTGTAAAACCGTCTCATTTTGTCAAAACCCTATCATTGGCTTTTATCAAAACCCTGAGATTCTATGATGAGTTATAACTGAAGAAAGGAGGACACAAGATCTATGACGGCGATTAACTTTCCCGTACTACAATATCTTTCCTAATCTACAATCTACGTCAAGTTAATGTCTAAACAATCCAGTTTAATTAGGTTATCGGTTATTTTAACACTCACCATCTTTAAATATTTAAATTTTATGTATTTACTAGCGTGTACCAGCAACTTCGTTCGCGTCGAAATAATCATTTGTAATGATGATTATAAAGCAAAGCAAGAATTTCCATTAACATACAAACTGGATAAAATTTTCTCACATTTATGTCAGCACGAGAAAAAACAATATGGCGATATTATTATATAACTTGGTAATATTTGAGGGGTAGTTTCATCTCGTTGGAATTTGACTTTCGAAAAATCCGTTTGCCAAAAATAAACTTTTACGTCTAGCAGTTTTAAGCGATCGTGGTTAAGAAATTACCCGGCAGGAACACCCTGTATGATTTTAAAAAAAAATTAAAATATGTAAAAACCAAATAAATATGCTTGTCCAAGCGTTTTCTCGAAAGACTAACCGTTTTTTAAATAACAAATATTGTAATATTTGAGAGACGTTTTCACCCTCTTGGAATTTGAGATTCGAGAAACCCCTCCTTATCGAACCTCTACACCCCACAGTCAATCCGTTTGCCAAAATCAGCTTTAAACGTCAAGCAGTTTAAGCAGAATCGTGATTACTCAATGGCCATATTTTATGAAGCACCCTGTATAAATTTCTAAAAAATCTTAAAATATGTAAAACAGCAAAATAAAATATACGTGTTTAAGCGTTTTTTCGGAAACTTGACCGTTTTTTAAATAAAAAATATTGTAATATTTGAGGGGATAGTTTCACGCAGAATTCGAGTTTCGAAAAATCCCTTCTTATCGAATCTCTACACCCTAAAGTCAATCTGTTTTCCAAAAATCAGCTTTTTACGTCAAGCGCTTTAAGCAGGATCGTGATTAATCAATGACCCAGATTTTCGAAACACCTTGTATACTTTTTATAAAATCTTAAAATATGTAAGAAAACAAAATAAAATATACGTGTTTAAGCGTTTTTGGAAACTTGACCGTTTTTAAATAAAAATATTGTAATATTTGAGGGTGGTTTCACCCTCTTGGAACTGGAATTTCGAAAAATCCCTTCTTATCGAACCTCTACACCCTAGAATCAACCTGTATGCCAAAATTGAGCTTCTTACGTTTAGTGGTTTGAGCAGGATCGTGATTCATCAGTATGTCAGTCACTTAAGGATTTTATATATTAGTATAGATAAGAAAAATCTTGAAATTAAGAACCTTCTAATACTGTTTTTTGTTTATTCTAGTCTGTCATACAACAACTCAGTGAAAATCTCAACAGACAACATTCAAAAAATGACTGAAAATACAATTTGCCTGCCAATTAAAATGACAAACACAACTGCCACTGTCAGGAATCCACCCGATGCGATGCTTCCCGTTTTGATAGACTACTATAATAGATGATAGATTACTATACTATTTAAAATAAATAACTCTATTTTAAGAACATAAAGTTCATTGACCCAATTTTAACTAAATTGTCGTATTGGTTTAGTTATTTTAATATTCGCGTTCTAAATCGATTATTGTAATATCACGCGTTGTCGAGCAACAGTTGTAAGCAGTTGGGTAGTTTAGAACTTTACTTTTTGTCTGAGAACGCCCTGCCAGATTTACTAGCTCTCTTATATTATTGAAGTGTAATAGTTTTTGTTTGGCATAGTTTGTTTCAATGTCTCTAGTATACAGATCCAATAATAATTGGAGACACATTTTATTCTAGTTTTTAAATTTTTTAGGATATTAGAGCAGATATATTTAAAAACTCATAGCAGTTTTTCCTGTAAGTTTTATTAGATATCACATTGGAGACATAAATATAGTTTATTTTTTATACATTATATTAACACAATTTTTAAAAAATTCACTTCCTACAAAATATAATATTTACAAAAACAGTAGAGATAAATGTTAAAATTAATGTATGATTTTTGTTAAATGTCAATAGTTATAGTTATTTAATATTCCTTTTTGTTTTGATATTGTATTTTTACTAAAAACACATACTCTGTTTATTATGATTTGCTACGTTTAGTAGGATTTTGCTGAACGATTCAAACTTTTTCCTGACTTGGACAGGTACAGGAAAAACTATCGTTTAACCGAAATCATAATTTACTGAAAACATAACTTTAGTTCATATCTCCAAAAATATTATTTTCAAAATACAGACTGTATTCTACGCAAAATGTTCTACAATAAACAGTTGTAGTTAACTTCTCGATACCTTTCACAAT